ARRTAKCTCATCACCACGGAAGCACATGCTTCGCTTAAGTAATTATTTCTGCATCACTTCGCTGTCGCCATTGTCCGAAGTCGTTTCTTCGTCAGTAGAATCTTGAGGAGTGTCTTCAATCGGGAGGGTCTCGTGAAGATACTTGAGCAGGCCTCCATCAGCAAAGTCAGCCACTGTGTGTCCCTGGCCAGTCATTACCCATCTGGTGGTCAGTAATCCTTCCACACCCACAGGACCCCGGGCGTGGATACGACCCGTGCTGATACCTACTTCAGCACCTAAATAAAATAATGGTGTTTATTTAGTATCTAGTGCCTTTGAAGGACTCGGTGAATTCCCCTCCGCGACACACTATACCCTACGCAGGACAAGAAAACCCCTAATAAACAACAGGTAGAAAAAACGAGCAAAGTACATCCCCGACCAAGGCAGTGGTGCTATACCGAGGTTTCAAGGTCTTGATGGACTCACGGGTGTAGCTGGAAGGTAGGAGTCCTGATGAGCGTGTGATTTCCCCTCCCTTTGTAAGACGATCTTTTCAGGTCAATAACATACAAATCTTCATATGCACTTCGGCAAAACTGCACAAATCCAAAGAATCGTCATAGCATATCTTTTCCATGGCTGGATACTTCACTTGTTCGTCCTTCTCCCCGCTTGAATACGAGCCCACCCTTTCCCCCACCGCCACCCCCGCTGCCTTTGAAAAATCCTACCTATATCTTTGGGACTCCAAATCAACAGTATCTAATTAGATTAACTCTTTCATTCCCACGATTTCATTAAATAACAATATAATGGTAATAATTAGCAATCCTTCTTACTGACTGCCATACATTTCTTATAATGTTAGTGGGAGAATTTGGTATTGGATCAACAAATTGATATTTCCTTTCTTCTCGTCAGATATCTGCTTGATATTTAACGAACGTTGTAAGCGGAGAAATTCTACTCTTGGGCCCATTAACGGCAATTGTGTTCCTGTAATAGCTGAGCACTCTGTCTCGTACTTACCAAGGCCAAAGCGATACCCATCCGAAAATCTAGTGCTTGTGTTATGGAAGACACACGCACTATCCACAGCTTTCAGAAAGTGATCAGCAGTCTCTTCTAAGAATAAAATATTTTGATAGGGGGCTTTCAGTAATCGGGGCAACGTAAACCTTAATGCATCTTGCGCGGCTTACAAATTTGTGAACTGAACAATATGTAGTATAACAAAAATTTGGAAAATATGAGTAAGTTTCCTAAATTTCTCTGCGTTGCGCAGCTTACATGGGTTCTCTTTGAGGTTCTTGC